CACTACTCCACCAGTTAGTGATTGGTTTTTCCCATGTCTTTGAAGAATGTTGATGGGATCTGGATTGGGATTGCATTGAGTGCATAGATTGCTTTGGATAGTATTGACATTTTCACAATGTTCAATCTCCCTATCCATGAGCATGGTATGTTCTTCCATATTTGTAGATCTTTTATAGTTTCTTGAAGTAGTGTTTTGTAGTTTAATTTATATCAGTCTTTTGTTTTCCTGGTAATATTTATTCCCAATTATCTTATCTTTTTGGTAGCTATTGTAAATGGTATTGATTTCCTTATTTCCCTTTCAGAGAGCTCTTTGCTGGTGTAGAGGAATCCAACTGATATTTGTATGTTGATCTTGTATCCTGCCACTGTGCTAAATCTTCCAGTAAATTCCAGTAGTTTTCTTGCTGAGTTTCTTGGGTTTTCTATATATAGGATCATATCATCTGCAAATGGTTTGTTTATGTGGAGTGTCCCAGGGGCAGGCCACAGTAAGCCAGCCTTGGACCAGAGGAAGGCAGATGTTTGTGTACATGGAGCACCTGGGGGCAGGCTACAGCAAGCCAGCCTGGGAGCAGCAGAAGGTGGGTGTTTGTGTGGAGCACCCTAGGGACAGGTCTAAGTAAGCCATCCTGGGAGCAGCTGAAGGCAGGTGTTTGTGTATAGCGCCCCGGGGGCAGGCTGGGTAAGCAAGCAGGGTGGGAGAGAACAGTAAATGACCAGAGCAGTTTGGAACAACTAAGGGAGACAAAGTTGCCTGTCAGTTTGTTGTACTGTGGTGGCTTGAGTGTTGCTGTGAGGCTGGAGGCTGTGCCATTGATGTTTCACATGCCAGCAGGGTTACCTACCTGTGGTGGACAGGTTTCAGCAGAACTTCCAGACTAAGATAGACTTGGAAGAAGGAAGAGACCATCCATTTTCAAAGAATTGGTCAGTGAAAACCTTATGAATAGCAGTGAAACACTGTCTGATATATAACTGGAAAACTATGAATAGCCCCAAAACATTATCTGATACACTGCTGGAAGATGAGTCCCTCAGGTCAGAAGGCACTCAAAATATGACTGGAGAAGAGCTGCCTCCTCAGAGTAGAGCTGACCTTAAATGATGTGGATACAGTAAAGCTTTTGGGACCTCCATTTGCTGATGTGGCATGTCTCAAGATGAGAAGAAACAGCTGCAAACATCCATTAATAATTGGAACATGGAATTATGAAGTATGAATCTAGGAAAATTGGCAGTTGTCAAAAATGAAATGGAACACATAAAGATTGCTATCCTAGGCATTAGTGACCTGAAATGGACTGGTTTTGACCATTTTGAATCAGATGATTATATGATCTACTATGCTGGGAATGACAAATTGAAGAAGAATGCTGTGGCATTCATCATGGCATAGAATGTATCAAGATCTATGCTGAAGTACAATGCTGCCAGTGATAGGATAATATCCATATGCCTACAAGGAAGACCAGTGAATACTATTATTCAGATTTATGCACCAACCACCAAAGCCAAAGATGATGAAATTGAAGATTTTTACCAACTTCTGCAATCTGAAATTGACTGAACCTATAATCAAGATATGTTAATTATCACTGGTGATTGGAATGCAAATGTTGGAAACAAAGAAGAATCACCAGCAATTGGAATATATGGCCTTGGTGATAGAAATAACGCTGGAGATTGTATGATAGAATTTTGCAAGACCAACAACTTAGTCATCACAAATATCTTTTTTCAGCAACACAAACAGTGGCTATACACATGGACTTCACCAGACAGAGTACACAGGAATCAGACTGATTACATCTGTGGTAAGAGGTGATGGGGAAGTTCAATATCTTCAGCCAAAACAAGGTCAGGAGCTGATTGTGGAACAGATCATCAACTGCTTTTATTCAAGTTCAAGTTGAAGCTGAAGACAATTAAAAGAAGTCCACAAGAGTGAAAATATGACCTTGATTATATCCCTCCTGAATTTAGATACCGTGTAATAAACAGATTTCATGCATTGAACACCAGTGACCAAAACCAGAGGAATTGTGGGATGACATCAAGAACATCATCCATAAAGAAAGCAAAAGGTCACTAAAAAGACAGAAAAGGGAAAAAAAAGACCAAAATGGATGTCAGAAAAGACTCTGAAACTTGCCCTTGAATGGAGAATAGCTAAAGCAAATGAAAGAATCAACAGGATAAAAAAGCTGAACAGAAGATTTTAAAGAGCAGCTCAAGAAGACAAAGCCAATTATTATAATGAAATGTGCAAAGACCTGGAGTTAGAAAAACAAAAGGGAAGAACACACTCAGCATTTCTCAAGCTGAAAGAACTGCAGAAACAAATTAAGCTCAAATTGTATTATTGAAAGATTCAATATGTTGAGCGATACAGAAAAAAAGAAGATGGACGGAATATACAGAGTTACTGTACCAAAAAGAATTGATAGATAATTATCCATTTCAAGAGGTGGCATATGATCAAGAACCAATAGTATTGATGGAAGAAGTCAAAGCTGCACTGAAGGAACTGGTGAAAGACAAGGCTCTGGGAATCAATGGAATACCCATTGAGATGTTTCAACAAATGGATGCCGTACTGGAGGCACCCACTTGGCTACGCCAAGAGATTTGGAAGACAGCTACCCAACCAACTGACTTGAAGAAATCTGTATTTGTACCCATTCCAAAGAAAGGTGATCCCACAGAATGTGGAAATTACTGAGCAATATCATTAATATCACATGCAAGTAAAATCTTACTGAAGGTAATTCAAAAATGGTTGCAGCAGTATATCAACAGAGAACTTGCAAAAATGCAAGCTGGATTCAGAAAGAAACATGGAGTGAGGAATATCATAGGTGATGCCAGATGGATCTTGGCTAAAAGCAAAGAATACCAGAAAGATGTTTACTTGTGTTTTATTGATTATTCAAAGACATTCAATTATGTGGGCCATAACAAATTGTGGATAACATTGAGAAGAATGGGAATTCCAGAACACTTAATGGTACTAATGAGGAACCTGTACATAGACCAGGAGGCTGTCATTCAAACAGAACAAACAGAACATGCATGATTTAAAATCAGGAACGGAGTACATCAGTGCTGTATCCTTTCATCATACATATTCAATCTGTATGCTGAGCAAATAATCCGAGAAGTTGCACTGTGTGAAGAAGAATGTGGCATCAGGATTGGAGAAAGGCTCATTAACTACCTGAGATGTGCAGACGACACAACTTTGCTTGCTGAAAGTGAGGATGACTTGGAGCACTTACTGATGAAGATTAAAGACTACAGTCTATCAAAAAATTACCAACTAAAAAAAGTCCTGGCCCAGACGGTTTCACTGGAGAATTCTACAAAACATTCAGTGGA